CACACACACACACACACACACACGATAATGTGGAAAAAAACCCTTCTGTCCCAACACATTTGCAGCTTATGCAAAATCACTGCCTCCCACATCATCTTCTCCTGCTAACCTTGAGAGATGCACGAAGTCACACCGAGTGTAAGGTCATTGCAGCACACGTGCACGCTCACACACACACATTATTGTGGAACATGCTCCTGCACACTTACTTTTGCAGATGGGATGAGGATACTGCCAGGTCTGATTGTCCTGACAGAAATTTTCACTGCTCCCCACTATATCGGCTCTGCAGGACAGAAGAGAGAGAGTCATGACGACAGACGTACAGTACTGACGGCTAAGGAGCTTCCTCTGAAGAAAAGTGATGGAGAAATAACTGAATTATTCTTTTTTCTCTCTCTCTTTCAAAATGTCTAAATGTGTGTGCATAGTTCTGGCTGACACATCCACTCAGGCTCATCTTAGCCTGTGAGATGAGTCAGTGTAGAAAAGGGAGTCAATACAAGATTAGACTGTAATGACCTAGTTAGTTCAGTGTTGAGACTGTCAGCTGAGAGATCAAAATGAATTCCCTGCCATTCATCGCTCGTCTCCCATCGTTCAACAACAACACCTCTCCTGCAATCATGGCTTCGCTCGGCTCGCTGCCTCTTCCTCACACTTCTTCCCCATCTGCTCTCTTCCTCCATTTCTGCCTTCGTGCCATTTCAGGTTTTCAGAGCCTTTGCCCACGCACGCACAACATAAACCTCCCAGCAGCCCCCTCTCACCCAGACAAGCAGCTGTAGCGGATGGAGGTTCCTACAGTGGCATCGCCCTGGATGCTGAAGGTGTCGATGACCTCCTCAGGCAGAGGGCAGATCTGGGCAGCAGCAGGTTCGGCCGGCTGAGTTTCTGAAGGTCAGAGAAGAAAAAGACGTCAGAGGCGATGATAAAGACAGACGAGCTGTGGTGGATGAGGTATTCAGATTCTTTATCTACATAAAATAAGCAATAAACCTCCAGAAAATACTCCGATTCATGGATTAAAAATACTACACAAGGTATAATAATAATAATGCAGTAAAACCAGAGTGTCCTTGATGCAAGTGTCACACTTCTATAAAATGAACAACTGCTGTTGCTGTAGTAATGTGTAAGAAGCATTTTACTGTGTAGTTGCTCAACTTGGGCTAATTTTGCAAGTAAGTATTTATCAGTTGGGTTGTTTATGCACAACATTGCACAATTATCATATTGCTTGTTTGTAATGTATTCATTTGTAAAGTACTTAGTTGTGTACAAGTAGCTCAAACGGTCAAGTGGT